ATGTTTTTTCAGTAAAGATCTCAAAGCTCTTTATTTCGCTGATTTACATGTTCCATCTTACACCACTGAGCGCAGACCTAGATTACACTGCCTTGCTCCCACCTGCCGTGAAGAGATGTATCTGACAGTGTTATTGCATAATATTCATTTCAAGCTCAGGGTCGGGGCAGTTCAGACCTTAGGATATTCCTTCAAAACGAAGAAATTACCTTCATCAAGCAGATACTGTTTGTGCATTTCAAGAGGGAAAAAAAAAAAACCCGACTAAAAGTTTTCTTATGTTTAGAACAGTGCTCATGGATTGCAATTGGCAAATTCCTTGGATGTCATATTTCCTTTTTCCTATTGTCTCCCTCTGAAATTTGATGATCAAAAAGTCACAGATGCGCTGTGAAGGCAGATGATTTCTGCCTCTTCTACTCCACAAGTGCTGACGTGGAGCAGAACCTTCATTTGAGCACACAGCTATTTCTGAAGCGATCCCATTGGCATTGCCCTTGGGGAGCTTTTAAACTGATGTGAATGTGGTGATTTCCAAATGAAGATGGCGTTTCCACACTTTGCTTTAAGTACACCTTTTTGTCTTTTCTTTGGCATTTTTAATTGTGGCATTATCTCCACTCATGCGTATTGTGGGCACTGTGAAGTGGGGGTTCCACAATATAAGTACAAAAATATCCTGACGGCTGAGTGAGAAACCAAACTGCACCCTAAGCCAGAGGGAAAGGGGTAACACATACTGTGTAAGTAAACAACACAAAGGGATTATTCATGCTCCAGTCCAGAGATGGATTGCATGAAAAACTGTCCCACAACTCAGAATGTGACAAAAGAATGATAAATCATTTCATTTAATGGGATGGATAGTAAGTGTGCAACAGGGACTATCATATCCAGGTGTGAAGATAAAATGCAGCATGCATCTCTACTTTCAAATCAAAGATGGACTCCCAATGAAACTGTTAAACACATTGGACAATAGGATGCTGGACGCCACCGTTGTCTATACCTATGAAGTCAGGATAAAATTAAGGAGAATGACAGACTTATGGCTGTTTATGAAGAACTATAATATTTTAATAATCTGGGGCGAATCAGTGGTGGGAGGGGTAAACGGAAATACAAGAGTCTATGGAGCTGCATTATAAAATACTAAAAAATTAGAATTAAAAATATTTCTAAACCTCACATTTTATGCTTGGACCAAGGTTGGCCAAAGGTATTTAAATCTACGAGAATGACACTGTGGAAGAGTGGGGATAACGCAGTTAGAGAGAGGGGTCGACTGTCTCTCTGGTAGAAGTTAACCTTGGCTCCACCACACACCTCTGAACTTTGACCAATGGGAGATTTGCAAATGTGAAGCAAGTAGCGGTGTAAGAAGTGACATTTCCACCCCTTCCTATCTCTTCCTTCTCCATAGACAGAGGCAGAGATTACCTGCTGCCACCACGGAGACTAACAAAGAAGCAGTTGAAAGGCCAACAAAGTATCCCCAGTGACACTGTTAGTTGACTACAGGACTTGACTGACCAGTGAGACCAGAAATACTCAACTGAGCTGGACCCCTAGTAAAGCTGTACTCATGAGCAAATAAAATGATCAAAGCCAGTAAGTTATCAAATAGTTTATTGTATGGACAAATGAACTTCACAATGAAATCTAGAATTTCATGGGGGAAGCATTGAAAATAGATTTTCAACAATAAAAAATGTACTTTGTAAAATTAGAGTTTGGTATGACATGGAATCAATACATTCATTGTTATGATGGATAATTAGTATGGTTAGGTTTATAAAAGAATAGATTGTAAGATTCATAGGATACATACATATGATATTTCAAGCAGTTACAGTATACATAGCTTAGTGCTTTTGTCGAAAATTGGTCATCTATCTTCCTCTACTAAACATTGTCTCATGAAGAGGTTATTTCTTTAAGACATAGCATCAGGCATTAGAACGTAAGATTTTAACAGCAAGTGCAATTCGGGGAAATCGGGCATAAGAACATAAGATTTTTTTTTGTTAGAACATAGGATTTTAACAGCAAGTACAATTCGGGAAAATCAGGGATCAGAACATAAGATTTTTTTTTTAGAACATAGGATTTTAACAGCAAGTGCAATTCGGTAAAATCGGGGATCAGAACATAAGATTTTTTTTTGTTAGAACATAGGATTTTAACAGCAAGTGCAATGCGGGAAAATGGGGGTTCAGAACATAAGATTTTTTTTTTAGAACATAGGATTTTAACAGCAAGTGTAATTTGGTAAAATCGGGCATCAGAACATAAGATTTTTTTTTTTTTTTTTTTTTAGAACATAAGATTTTAACAGCAAGTGCAATTCGGGAAAATCGGGCATCAGAACATAAGATTTTTTTTTTGTTAGAACATAAGATTTTAACAACAAGTGCAACTCGGCAAAATCGGACATCAGAACATAAGATTTTTTTTTTTTTTTTTTTTTAGAACATAAGATTTTAACAGCAAGTGCAATTCGGGAAAATCAGGGATCAGAACGTAGGATTTTTTTTTTTTTTTAGAACATAAGATTTTAACAGCAAGTGCAATTCGGGAAAATCGGGCATAAGAACATAAGATTTTTTTTTTTTTTTTTTTTTAGAACATAAGATTTTAACAGCAAGTGCAATTCGGGAAAATCGGGCATCAGAACATAAGATTTTTTTTTTTTTTTTTTTTTAGAACATAAGATTTTAACAACAAGTGCAATTCGGTAAAATCGGGCATAAGAACATAAGATTTTTTTTGTTAGAACATAAGATTTTAACAGCAAGTGCAATTCGGTAAAATCGGGCATAAGAACATAAGATTTTTTTTTTTTAGAACATAAGATTTTAACAGCAAGTGCAATTCGGCAAAATCGTAGGATTTTAACAGCAAGTGTAAATCGGTAAAATCGGGCATTAGAACATAAGATTTTTTTTTTTTTAGAACATAAGATTTTAACAGCAAGTGCAACTCGGGAAAATCGGGCATCAGAACATAAGATTTTTTTTTTTTTAGAACATAAGATTTTAACAGCAAGTGCAATGCGGGAAAATCAGGGATCAGAACGTAGGATTTTTTTTTTTTTTAGAACATAAGATTTTAACAGCAAGTGCAATTCGGGAAAATCGGGCATCAGAACATAAGATTTTTTTTTTTTTTACAACATAAGATTTTAACAGCAAGTGCAATTCGGGAAAATCGGGCATAAGAACATAAGATTTTTTTTGTTAGAACATAAGATTTTAACAGCAAGTGCAATTCGGGAAAATCGGGCATCAGAACATAAGATTTTTTTTTTTTTTTTTTTTTAGAACATAAGATTTTAACAACAAGTGCAATTCGGTAAAATCGGGCATAAGAACATAAGATTTTTTTTGTTAGAACATAAGATTTTAACAGCAAGTGCAATTCGGTAAAATCGGGCATAAGAACATAAGATTTTTTTTTTTTAGAACATAAGATTTTAACAGCAAGTGCAATTCGGCAAAATCGTAGGATTTTAACAGCAAGTGTAAATCGGTAAAATCGGGCATTAGAACATAAGATTTTTTTTTTTTTAGAACATAAGATTTTAACAGCAAGTGCAATTCGGTAAAATCAGGCATTAGAACGTAGGACTTTAAGAGTAACTGTAATTCAGTTTTTAGTTGTTACATGAGCTCTTAAAATCATTTTTTCCAAGTAGGTCAAGATAGTTATGTCAAAATTGGTATATATGTCAATATCGGTATAAGTGAACAGTACCCTATTTCAATAAACATGGTACTATTACTCCGTCATTCAGGTTTTTGAAATTCATGAATATCCAATAGTAAGTATATTGGAATTCATGATATCTGATAGTAAGTGTAGTATTATCACAGAAAATCTCTGACTTACTGTGAGTTTGTCGAAAAGTCACATTTCAGAGAAAAAAATTGGTTTTTGTTGTGACCGGTATAACGAAGACTTATGGGCATATGAGAAGGCAATGTAGCTGATAGTTTTGAGAAATGATTTTTACATTGAAAAATATATTCCAGAAATTAAAAATGTAGAAGACATTTTTGATGAAATTCTGATTGGCTTTTTGTTCTAGAAAGTATGTCTTTTGATTTTTTCTATGCATCGAATCTTTTGACTCTTAATGTTCAGTTTTATAATTACCCAGCTAATGTTTCAACAAGGGCTGGGAATCACTTCATCATTGTATGCAGTATTTAACTAATAGCATTGTCATAGGTGTTCGATAAATTCATATTTAATCTTCAGTTTCTACAGTATTTTAAAACCGTCATTTCTCCTGGGGATAACATCCAGTTTATTAATGGTATATAGAAGCACATTTTTTAAAAGCCTACAAATGAACAGGTATTTCAAAACAAACAAAAAAAGATAAAATTAAAAAATATAAAAATGAATTCAAGTATGAGCTGATATTGGCACAAAAAATTACATCCATGCATACATTTCTTTGGTATGTATTTTCATGAAATTTTTTCTGAGATCTCTGAATAATGTTTGTATTAACAGACAATCTCATAAAAAAGTTTATGAAAATACATACTAAAAAAATTTATGCATAGATTTAAAGTTTTTGTACCAACATCAGCTCACATTTTAATCCATTCTTATAGTTTTTACTTTATCTTAAAACATTAATTATGTAGGAACTTGAAATCCCCTTGAGTAATGACGATGGAAACTGAAGGGTGACATTAATTGAGCTGATGTTTTGGAAACAGCTTATTACTGTGTGCTGTATAAAGTCTCTCAATGCTAAAAGAAAAAACTGAGTTTGTAGTGATTCCTATATGCTGTTGGTTAACAAAAACATTTGGTTATTTCTGGGCATAAATTTCATCTCAATTTTGAATTTTTGCATTTTTTCCTAAAAACAGAGTTTGGCTTCATATTGGAATTTAGAAAATTAGACATACAAAAGTGTGGAAAATACTAAAAACTAAACAGGCGGAGCAGAAGAGCGGTGTGGCTCCTACTAGATGTGTCTTCTGCCCGTAGGATTTCTTGAGCCTTCTTGCCAATCATTTGGTCTTCCAAGTTGCCAGGATGTTTTTCTGTTGAAGAAAAAACCAGAAAGATTGTTGTGGTTAATAATCATCTCAGAGTATGGAAGCATCCTGAATCCTGCTTTAAGGACTTTCTCTAAAGATTTCCTGTAAGCCATGAAGGGACTATCAAACCACTGCCAATCATCAGCAGTTTGAGGAGTAGCAGTTAGAACTGTTGCAGGGAAGGTAAGGAAAGAAGTCCTAAAGACTCACGCCAAATGAAGCCTTCAGTGACTGACAGGACAAAGGGCAGAGGCCATGGCGGCGGGCATGCCAGGGTCACTCCGGGATCCTCTCTAACAGAAGACTCAGGTCAACCACTGAAACTGAGTGTGATCAGATCTGGGAGTGGTGTTATCAATCCATCCAAGAAAAAAATGACTAAAGCTTTTTTAGGATAGTTTTAAAGTCTCAGTGTCAAAGAGTGAAAAGATAATTATAAATCCAACCATCACAGCACTCAGCATGATGATGTTCATGGGTTGCAGAACATGTAAGAAAAATACAAGTTGCGAGAAAAAATGGATACTTAGTCCTTTCTGATCCCAAATGAATTCATGTTCAAAATTCACCCTACATAGGTTATCTTTGAATTCTGTATTTGTACAAAACACTCACATTATCATATTCTAATGCAAAAACACAAGGACACACTGAAGGGACCTGGCAGCTCAGCATGCTCCCCTTCAATGTACAACTATGAGACAATGAATCATAGGATCACTTGAAACAAAATGGTTGTTTTAGTTTTGTTAACTCAATTTTGTCCAAAGAATTCCATTCATTCTTCATGGACAGAAAAAGAAGATGTCAAGCAAACTTTTTTTTAATGTAATCATTCTAGAAGAAAAGTAGTTCTTGGTGTGAGGTTAAATGATGTGCATAGCAAATTTTAAAAATAAGGAACAATGCCAATCGGCTCCTGTCTTCAGTAACTCTGAGGAGCATGGGTGGCCAATGCTGCACTCAGGCTGACACCATCTCACACTGTCTAACTGGTCATTGATTACACTTGAGCTTCTCTGGTTTGCATGTGTAGCTTAATTCCCTCTGCTAACGAAAAACAAGTCATTTTCTTAGTATATTTTCAAGCAACAGTCTTGTATCAACATCTGAGAGCAATAAAAAAAAATAATAATTTGACCAAAGTACAATATACCCATGATCCTCGTGATGAGGATTTTAAGGTTTCCAATTCACCAGGAACAAGCTGACGAGAAGATGAGTTGATACCTTCTGGCCCAAAGTGGCTTCCTATCGCACACTTACTCACACATTTTAAATTTTGTACTCAAATGTCACATTGTGTCCCCAGAGGTAGAGCTACTCCTTGGAAAAGCCAGAGTGAGGACAAAAAACAACAACAACAAAACAAAACAAAACAAAACAAAAAAACTAGTGGCTTGTAAACTGCAAATTCAGTGTTCTACTGACAACCAGCATTAGAGAAACATGAGGAGCGACAGGAGTCTTAGTTTAGGTGCCACATGTACAATTCTCTACCAAAACACTGCGCCACTTTACAGTTAGAAACTTAAGATTTCAAGCAAAGTTAGAAAAATGAAACATGCTGAAAAAGTAATCCTTCGACTGGAACACAGAGAGTATCCAGCAATTATGCTAAACCAGCTTTTTAGTAACACAGAGGGCAGAGGACAGATGGCACCTGTAGGATCATACAGAACCAGGCTAGGCTTGTTTGACACTGGGAGCTTTTGGTCGTTCAACATACCTGGCTCGGGCTCAATTCCGGCAGCTACATTACATGATCTGTTGAAGAAAAAACAAAACAAAAATTGTCAATACTTGTGGATCACACATCCAACTCCATATCTGATCGCAGTGAAAGAACTTATTCAAAATCCAAGCAGTACCAGTTCCTATTGCAGAGTGATACTTTTCTGATTATTTTCTGAGATTAGTTTATTAAAATATGTATACTAAGAAAAAGGCTCATGGCTTTAATAACTTTTGAGAAAAAATGTTTCTAATTATTCTTTCATTCTTGAATATCATTGGTATTAATGACTTACACTTACCCCAACAGGAACAAAGGTAAAGAAAAACCAAATGGTCTGATAACTGGGAAAGTGCCAGTGTCCACTGGTGTTCCATTGAGAGCTCAAGGAACTTGCAGCAGCCTGTTGGTCAGACTCCATGCTTGGGGTCCTGGCTCCAGCCATCGCGACCATGTGGTGAGCTGGGCCCGGGCCTGCCTGGGCTCAAGAGGCTTCTCCCTTCCTGGTGAGTATGCTGGGAGGGCATCTCTTGGGAGCAAGGCAGGCCCTGGCTCAGGATAGAAGAGCATGCAAGCAAAATGACTCTGTTTAGGGGCCTCATGGACAAGCTTCCCGAGATGAAGCGCAGGCCGGGTTTCCTCTCTCAGTGGATGATGCTTGTACAATCAGTGTTCTCAAACAATGGGTGGTGACCCAATGGGTATTTATTTATTTTGCTGCAGGAAAATGAAACTTTATTTAAAATTTTTACAGAAATAGATTCGTCTAAGTATTGGACAGTGGTAAAATAAATTTTCTGAATCCCAGCATTATGCACTGATACTGAGGATTTTCATCAGATTTCTGAGATCTCAGGCCAAAAAATTAAGGGTAGTACACATTACAATAGGTAGATTTAAAGTTTTTCTTTAACAAAAGTATATTTGTATCCTGGATTCCTTTTAAAAATGTTTTATTTTTATCTTTGAACACCATTTGTGCAGAAAGAATTGGGGTTACACTACAACAACACAGAAGGATAAAGGCAGATAAGCTGGATGGATCTGGTCATTTGCAGTGTGTCCATTTAGTATGCAACTGCAAGACAACAGCTGAAGAGCCTGAAGCAAAATGGTTCCGTTCCACTGGAGCGTGTGTTCCTACGGAATCCCATCCACTGGTGATGGACAAAGATTTTCAGCAACGCTTGTAAAACGTATGCAAGCATTTGAGAACAAGTAGTCCCTAATATGAGGTAAAAGGAAGTGACTGAGAAGTAAAGTCCTAAAGAACATGCCAACTGCACTCTTCTGGAGGTCAGAGCACACTAGACACGGATGGGCCCATGCCCAGGTCAGGCGTCAGCTCCCACTCAAAAGCTTTGGTCAGCCATTCTATGTGACACTGATCTTGATGGCAGTGTTGGTATTATTTCTCCTGCTACAGCAAAGCCTGGAGATTTCTCAGTCTAGCTGAAGACAATATACTCATTTCAACCTTGAGTGTCAGTGAAAAAAACCATCAAAACCCGATAAACACTCGTGTGGCTTCTGAGACACAACAGAGGTAAGTTTACACAGTTACTGCTTGATGAGAACTTGATGCCTAGCCTGAATACTTTTTGGAGAGAAAAAAGCCTGTATGCTACATTTATTTTTAGATTTTACATTTTTGTCAATGATAGCATTTTTGTACTTGGCATCACAGCCCACTTTGATAAAGCAAAAGACAAGGGACAGAAATCAAGTGGCAAAGAAGCTGACAGCGCTGTTAGTGCTCCATAACAAGCGACAGGGAAACAGTAAACCCAGCACGGTCTCAGTTTGGGTGCCTCCTGGCTGATTCTCCCCGGAGAACTCCTCAGATGAAGCTAGAGAACTCAAACATGTAAGTTTTGATGGAGTTGCCTTTTGAGTTACATTAAAGCAAGCTCAAGGAAAAGGAAAGGAAATGCTAAGGAAGCATGCTGACTCTGTAGTGACTAAGAGATCAAGGGACAGAAGTCACCAATTGGCACGGAAATAATGTGTTCGGTCAACATACCTGACAAGACATCAGACTCCATCCTGACAGGACATCGCCTGTTGAAAATGGGAGGGAAAAGAATTCTTAGTGTTTCCAAATATCATTTAACCAACTGAATCCTGGAATACAATGTTTTTGCACCACCGACTTATTCTCACATTGTGGGTGTTTATGAGACTGCCAGCATACGAAACACTTTATGAAAACTTATCCACGATAACACAGTTCATAATTTTGAAAATCTCAAATCTCTTTTTCAGAAAAAAGACCCAAATCCACATTCTGGAACAATATCACAAATATTCATACACCCAGACTTCACAGTCTCCTATGAGAGACTGATGACATTGGCAAGGCTCCATGATGAAAAGTCTTTTCAAAGCATTCTGAGAGTTTGACAGGGAGATGTCAACCAGTTTGGGGCCACAACACTCATATACAAATAATTTTTGGAGATGGAATCCATTACTGGTATTGCTTTGTGTTTTAAGAACTGCCCCTTACAGTTTCACAAAGAAAAGTAATAGAGGAAATTAGGGGTCCTGGGAGGCAGATGAGTGTCCACTCCATGCTGTGGTGGATCAAGGACAGAACAGGTGACTGCTGTCTTGGTTTCCAGGACACAAAACCAAGTCTCCATCCAGAAATTGGTCAATCCTGCACAAAACCAGGGAATTAACCCAGGTGAGGAAGGCTGACAGGTCCCATGCCACTGTGAAACTGTTTCTCTACCACCTTAGGAAAGTGGTTGCCTCCATGGGTACGCCTCTAAAGCAATTGTCTTTAAGGAACTCTACCTGCCTCAGATAGAGACCAAATGAATCAAGAGAAGTTGGGAAATACAAATGTAAACATTTGTGAAAAAGCAGCCACTTTATGTTCTGCTAAAATATTGATAAAGGACAGAAAAGGAGATCCTAGGAAATGAAAGGAGCGCACAGCCAATGCTGGGAGTGCACAGGTCAGAACAACAGATCTGCCCCCTTTTCACTCGGGTCTGCGGCACTTTCTTTTCAGCCATGATTCTCTGCACTGTGTCACACCACCATTCAAGTGTCAAGTTTCTGGTGAACAAACACCAAACATATTTCGGAGTATGTTCTAGCAACACTCCCTTCTCAGCAGCAGATGGCTGGCAAAGAAGGTATCTTGAATTCAAATAAGATACATGTTTATAGCAGATTTACATGATTTTGGATTCATCACAGTTCATAGCAACATATATCATTGGAAAATGATTCACGGATTTAGTATACTTAAGACAAAGAAAGACCTATTTTAAATTCTCACATGCTTCCCTACTGTCCCTGATGTCATTTTTGTCTGAAAACAATGCAATTTCCTTTTACAAAAGCCATAATTACAAGGATGAGTAAAATTACAGAATCTGTTATCATGGACCATGCACCTGCATTGTCTCTGAGGGAAGCAGCACCACTGCCTCAGCTCAGGGACCACAGTGTCAGTTGTACATCAATGGACTATGCACCCTAAAGTATCTGCAACCATGCTGCACGAAGGATGACACCTAGACTGAATTGCACCCAAGGAAATGTGCCCATGCACCTTCTTTCTGAGCACATTCCAAGGGGCACATGGGTATCACCCATGACCTTGGCAGAGTTGGCACATCCAGTAGCCATTGGTGGAACTCAGGCCATACTTCAGAAAAAAGGAACCCTCTGCGGTAAGGTCTCGAAATGGTAGTGAACATGAAAGGGAATTCTCAGAGAGATTGCTTTGGGCACCCTTCAGTCATTCACTGGGCAGAGGACAGGACAGGATGATCTAAGTGCCCCCAATAAGCTTGTGCTTAGCACCACTTCCCCTGGGGTGCCCCAGCTCTTTTTCCATACCTGGGTCTGTGCTCATTCCCAGCTGAGTGTTGGAGTTAAATTCTGAAGGAAAAAGAAAACAACAATTCACCTGAGTGCATCTGCGTAACACAGCAACCCAGTCTCATTCAGCATGCCACCACCATCTCCTAAGTTGAGACTCATGAGGTTTCTGAAGCGTGCTCAGAAAATGAAAATGCACTGCACATTAGCACAATGCTGTGTGTACATATCGTCCACACTGGGCCACACTGGTTTGCCCATTCAAGCCATTCTGACAAGTAGGATCCCCGTATTAGTACTGTTTGTGGGTTAAGAACAGCCCCCTGCACTAGGCCTAGCTGCTTTGAAACAAGCATTTTCTATGTTAAGTCATTCAAATGGGAGCAGGTTTTTTGGGTAGTTTTGGCCAAATCATACTATGTTCTTGGTATCCATGCAATGGGGACCATTCTCTACCAGAGGATTCCATCCCTCCTGTGCAGAAACAGGGCATCTACAGATCCAGAAAAAAAAAAAAACTGTGGTAACGTTTGGCTTGATGCAACCCTGCATGTCAGGGTTATAAAATGTTACAGATAATGAAAGATATTATAAATCATCAAAACCTGTCCATCCTGTTGAAACCCAGAACACGGAGTGCAGAAGCCATATGGGCGTTCACAAACTTGGCCTCTGCGTCCTCTCTTAGTGCATATCATAACTCTTTCTCCATCATGTTAATGAGACCCATTCAAGGGATGCTGTCACAATTACTGTGCAGGAAGACCAAAGCAGATTCATCTCAAAGGTTTCTGGCTCACATTCGACAACAGAAACAAGGTTTATCTCCACCCAAAATCAGTACTACTACAGGATCCTTGGCCAATCTTAGGCTTGTTATGGTTAACTGTGCTCAGAGGCAAACAAGGAGAGATGGACAGAAAGGAAACTTAGAGGACTCAACCACACCGTGACTTTGCATCCACGTGATTTACAAATGTGGTTACTGTGTATTTCATCTTCACAGGAAATACATAAATCTTACAATATGAAATGTATCAGAATATGGGGAAGTTTCAGTATTCCAAGCAGAACCAAGCAAAACAAAAACAAAACAGAAACGAATTGGAATTTTACTCAGGAAAGGGTAATATCAATGCAGATAGATGCATATAACAAAAATGTATCTAAAACCATAACAACCAAAAAAGATGCAAGAAAAAAATACTGCCCTTGCATGTTACGACAGAGGAAGGGAATGGAACCAGATCACTGGATCTGACCCAGACAATTCGAAGGAACAAAACACGCAAACAGGACTGGACCAGTTCATTGCACCATGGTGGTCAGAATACATTTTCTCAAGCATCAGGAACACAAACCTCGTAAAGCCAAGAATGCTATGATAAACCAGTTTGCATTCAGAAATTCACAAGGGAAAGGATAAGAAATATTGGTACTCATGTTCATTCAGAAGCCTGACTATGCTTATCAGTGGCAAGGATGCATAATTAAGAGGACGCCACTACAAATGCAATGGGGGAGAAATAAGATATTGCAATAAGCATATAAGCTCAAGGATAAGAGCAATACTGAGAGCACAAACGGTACAAGAGATTTTTGGAATTAGGTTCCCGCGGGAGGCCCCAGCTCTTATTTCCTACCTGAATCGGCAAAAATAGGGAAATCGAAGAAACAAACTGAGGAGTCTGAAAGGAAACAAAACAACAATGCCTCTGAGAATACTTGCATAAAACACACCCAACGTGGCATCTGCAAACAGCAACACACAGTCTCACAGATCTTCCTGCCACCATCTTTGAGGTGGAGATTCCTGAGATGTCTGAAGCACGTTCAGAAATAGTGCGTGCATTGCATCCTAGGAGAACAGGCTGGCTCCATGTCACCCAGCCTGGGCCAAGGCACTTCTCCCGTTCCCTTCAACTTCTTTTCCCAGGGAGAGGGAGGAATCTCTATTGGGGTTGCTTGAGTGCTAGGGAATAGTCTCCCATCACAGCCTTTCAAGCAGGACCAAGATTCGAGTCCACCCAGGCATCACTCTCTCCTACCGAGGGGCTCCTTGACCTTTCTGAGAGAGGCACCTTTAGGATAGCATTAGGCACTGCCTGATGAGCAGACATGGGTGCGAAGATAGCTTCAAGGATGGAGCTACACCACTGCTTCACGTCAGCCGCTTCTTTGAGTTTGGGTCCTGACACTGGCTGCTGCGTGCGTGGCTCTCCCGCTGCATGAAGCTGTTGTTAAGTATGAGGAGAGCAAAGGCTCCAGAATGGAGGGGAGTTCCTACTTGCTCTTCGTTCCCAGGGGAGCCAAGGAAACACACTAGGATGCCAACCATCTGTTTGGGCCAGTGGCCACGAGGGCAATTCTACGCTATGAAATTGGGTCTCTGCTGGACACCCACTCTCCAGTGCAATACAAGGTAGGAAAGTCATGTAGACAGAATGGAACTTGGCCAGACGCTATGCCATGACACCAAGACATTCCTAAGGAAGCACGTCATGGCTGGCTCTCCTCAGTACAAGAGCGCCACTCTGTCTTGCCATGGACACCCACCATAAAACAAGATGACCCCCGTCTTGCTTCCTGGCACGCACGGACTGCTCTCGAGCCAGAGCAGTTGCTCTGCCCTGCACAGTTCTGAGCCACCTCAACAGGGGAGCCTGCTTGCACAGGGAGGTTGTGGCAACATGGTCCGTGGCTGCCACAAAGAGCCAGCAAACAAAGCCCAAGGGCAGCGACAAGGCATCTCTGGCAGACTCGGATGGACCCTCAAGCACACAACGCCACACAGCATGGAAGGATGGCAACCAGATCGCACTGTGTCTGAGCAAAGCTAAGAGCCCTTGCACATCGTGTCAGAGGGCGTCCAGTTGGTCCATGGGCGAGGTCTCCCATGCATCCTTGGTCTCAGTGCAATTGCACATCCCTTGGATGGAACTCAGGCCATCTCCTAGGACACAGGAACCTTTCGAGTTCAGGTCCTGAATCGGTAGTGACCATGGAAGGGAATTCTCAGACCCGTTGCTATGGGCACCCTTGAGTCACTGCAGGGAAGGGCACAGTTGGCAGAGGTGCCCCCAACAAGCTCCAGCTTGGCATCAGGTTCCCCCGGGAGCCCCAGCTCTTATTTCCTACCTGCATCAGCACAAATAGGCAAATCAGTCACTTTTGAGGTGTCTGAAAGGAAACAAAACAACAATGCCTCTGAGAATACTTGCATAAAACACACCCAACGTGGCATCTGCAAACAGCAACACACAGTCTCACAGATCTTCCTGCCACCATCTTTGAGGTGGAGATTCCTGAGATGTCTGAAGCACGTTCAGAAATAGTGCGTGCATTGCATCCTAGGAGAACAGGCTGGCTCCATGTCACCCAGCCTGGGCCAAGGCACTTCTCCCGTTCCCTTCAACTTCTTTTCCCAGGGAGAGGGAGGAATCTCTATTGGGGTTGCTTGAGTGCTAGGGAATAGTCTCCCATCACAGCCTTTCAAGCAGGACCAAGATTTGAGTCCACCCAGGCATCACTCTCTCCTACCGGGGGGGGGGGGCTCCTTGACCTTTCTGAGAGAGGCACCTTTAGGATAGCATTAGGCACTGCCCGATGAGCAGACATGGGTGCGAAGATAGCTTCAAGGATGGAGCTACACCACTGCTTCACGTCAGCCGCTTCTTTGAGTTTGGGTCCTGACACTGGCTGCTGCGTGCGTGGCTCTCCCGTTGCATGAAGCTGTTGTTAAGTATGAGGAGAGCAAAGGCTCCAGAATGGAGGGGAGTTCCTACTTGCTCTTCGTTCCCAGGGGAGCCAAGGAAACACACTAGGATGCCAACCATCTGTTTGGGCCAGTGGCCACGGGGGCAATTCTACGCTATGAAATTGGGTCTCTGCTGGACACCCACTCTCCAGTGCAATACAAGGTAGGAAAGTCATGTAGACAGAATGGAACTTGGCCAGACGTTATGCCATGACACCAAGACATTCCTAAGGAAGCACGTCATGGCTGGCTCTCCTCAGTACAAGAGCGCCACTCTGTCTTGCCATGGACACCCAGCATAAAACAAGATGACCCCTGTCTTGCTTGCTGGCATGCACGGACTGCTCTCGAGCCAGAGCAGTTGCTCTGCCCTGGACAGTTCTGAGCCACCTCAACAGGGGAGCCTGCTTGCACAGGGAGGTTGTGGCAACATGGTCCGTGGCTGCCACAAAGAGCCAGCAAACAAAGCCCAAGGGCAGCGACAAGGCATCTCTGGCAGACTCGGATGGACCCTCAAGCACACAACGCCACACAGCATGGAAGGATGGCAACCAGATCGCACTGTGTCTGAGCAAAGCTAAGAGCCCTTGCACATCGTGTCAGAGGGCGTCCAGTTGGTCCATGGGCGAGGTCTCCCATGCATCCTTGGTCTCAGTGCAATTGCACATCCCTTGGATGGAACTCAGGCCATCTCCTAGGACACAGGAACCTTTCGAGTTCAGGTCCTGAATCGGTAGTGACCATGGAAGGGAATTCTCAGACCCGTTGCTATGGGCACCCTTGAGTCACTGCAGGGAAGGGCACAGTTGGCAGAGGTGCCCCCAACAAGCTCCAGCTTGGCATCAGGTTCCCCCGGGAGCCCCAGCTCTTATTTCCTACCTGCATCAGCACAAATAGGCAAATCAGTCACTTTTGAGGTGTCTGAAAGGAAACAAAACAACAATGCCTCTGAGAATACTTGCATAAAACACACCCAACGTGGCATCTGCAAACAGCAACACACAGTCTCACAGATCTTCCTGCCACCATCTTTGAGGTGGAGATTCCTGAGATGTCTGAAGCACGTTCAGAAATAGTGCGTGCATTGCATCCTAGGAGAACAGGCTGGCTCCATGTCACCCAGCCTGGGCCAAGGCACTTCTCCCGTTCCCTTCAACTTCTTTTCCCAGGGAGAGGGAGGAATCTCTATTGGGGTTGCTTGAGTGCTAGGGAATAGTCTCCCATCACAGCCTTTCAAGCAGGACCAAGATTTGAGTCCACCCAGGCATCACTCTCTCCTACCGGGGGGGGGGGGGGCTCCTTGACCTTTCTGAGAGAGGCACCTTTAGGATAGCATTAGGCACTGCCCGATGAGCAGACATGGGTGCGAAGATAGCTTCAAGGATGGAGCTACACCACTGCTTCACGTCAGCCGCTTCTTTGAGTTTGGGTCCTGACACTGGCTGCTGCGTGCGTGGCTCTCCCGTTGCATGAAGCTGTTGTTAAGTATGAGGAGAGCAAAGGCTCCAGAATGGAGGGGAGTTCCTACTTGCTCTTCGTTCCCAGGGGAGCCAAGGAAACACACTAGGATGCCAACCATCTGTTTGGGCCAGTGGCCACGGGGGCAATTCTACGCTATGAAATTGGGTCTCTGCTGGACACCCACTCTCCAGTGCAATACAAGGTAGGAAAGTCATGTAGACAGAATGGAACTTGGCCAGACGTTATGCCATGACACCAAGACATTCCTAAGGAAGCACGTCATGGCTGGCTCTCCTCAGTACAAGAGCGCCACTCTGTCTTGCCATGGACACCCAGCATAAAACAAGATGACCCCTGTCTTGCTTGCTGGCATGCACGGACTGCTCTCGAGCCAGAGCAGTTGCTCTGCCCTGGACAGTTCTGAGCCACCTCAACAGGGGAGCCTGCTTGCACAGGGAGGTTGTGGCAACATGGTCCGTGGCTGCCACAAAGAGCCAGCAAACAAAGCCCAAGGGCAGCGACAAGGCATCTCTGGCAGACTCGGATGGACCCTCAAGCACACAACGCCACACAGCATGGAAGGATGGCAACCAGATCGCACTGTGTCTGAGCAAAGCTAAGAGCCCTTGCACATCGTGTCAGAGGGCGTCCAGTTGGTCCATGGGCGAGGTCTCCCATGCATCCTTGGTCTCAGTGCAATTGCACATCCCTTGGATGGAACTCAGGCCATCTCCTAGGACACAGGAACCTTTCGAGTTCAGGTCCTGAATCGGTAGTGACCATGGAAGGGAATTCTCAGACCCGTTGCTATGGGCACCCTTGAGTCACTGCAGGGAAGGGCACAGTTGGCAGAGGTGCCCCCAACAAGCTCCAGCTTGGCATCAGGTTCCCCTGGGAGGCCCCAGCTCTTATTTCCTACCTGCATCAGCACAAATAGGCAAATCAGTCACTTTTGAGGTGTCTGAAAGGAAACAAAACAACAATGCCTCTGAGAATACTTGCATAAAACACACCCAACGTGGCATCTGCAAACAGCAACACACAGTCTCACAGATCTTCCTGCCACCATCTTTGAGGTGGAGATTCCTGAGATGTCTGAAGCACGTTCAGAAATAGTGCGTGCATTGCATCCTAGGAGAACAGGCTGGCTCCATGTCACCCAGCCTGGGCCAAGGCACTTCTCCCGTTCCCTTCAACTTCTTTTCCCAGGGAGAGGGAGGAATCTCTATTGGGGTTGCTTGAGTGCTAGGGAATAGTCTCCCATCACAGCCTTTCAAGCAGGACCAAGATTCGAGTCCACCCAGGCATCACTCTCTCCTACCGGGGGGTGAGGGGGCTCCTTGACCTTTCTGAGAGAGGCACCTTTAGGATAGCATTAGGCACTGCCCGATGAGCAGACATGGGTGCGAAGATAGCTTCAAGGATGGAGCTACACCACTGCTTCACGTCAGCCGCTTCTTTGAGTTTGGGTCCTGACACTGGCTGCTGCGTGCGTGGCTCTCCCGTTGCATGAAGCTGTTGTTAAGTATGAGGAGAGCAAAGGCTCCAGAATGGAGGGGAGTTCCTACTTGCTCTTCGTTCCCAGGGGAGCCAAGGAAACACACTAGGATGCCAACCATCTGTTTGGGCCAGTGGCCACGAGGGCAATTCTACGCTATGAAATTGGGTCTCTGCTGGACACCCACTCTCCAGTGCAATACAAGGTAGGAAAGTCATGTAGACAGAATGGAACTTGGCCAGACGCTATGCCATGACACCAAGACATTCCTAAGGAAGCACGTCATGGCTGGCTCTCCTCAGTACAAGAGCGCCACTCTGTCTTGCCATGGACACCCAGCATAAAACAAGATGACCCCTGTCTTGCTTGCTGGCATGCACGGACTGCTCTCGAGCCAGAGCAGTTGCTCTGCCCTGGACAGTTCTGAGCCACCTCAACAGGGGAGCCTGCTTGCACAGGGAGGTTGTGGCAACATGGTCCGTGGCTGCCACAAAGAGCCAGCAAACAAAGCCCAAGGGCAGCGACAAGGCATCTCTGGCAGACTTGGATGGACCCTCAAGCACACAACGCCACACAGCATGGAAGGATGGCAACCAGATCGCACTGTGTCTGAGCAAAGCTAAGAGCCCTTGCACATCGTGTCAGAGGGCGTCCAGTTGGTCCATGGGCGAGGTCTCCCATGCATCCTTGGTCTCAGTGCAATTGCACATCCCTTGGATGGAACTCAGGCCATCTCCTAGGACACAGGAACCTTTCGAGTTCAGGTCCTGAATCGGTAGTGACCATGGAAGGGAATTCTCAGACCCGTTGCTACGGGCACCCTTGAGTCACTGCAGGGAAGGGCACAGTTGGCAGAGGTGCCCCCAACAAGCTCCAGCTTGGCATCAGGTTCCCCCGGGAGCCCCAGCTCTTATTTCCTACCTGCATCAGCACAAATAGGCAAATCAGTCACTTTTGAGGTGTCTGAAAGGAAACAAAACAACAATGCATCTGAGAATACTTGCATAAAACACACCCAACGTGGCATCTGCAAACAGCAACACACAGTCTCACAGATCTTCCTGCCACCATCTTTGAGGTGGAGATTCCTGAGATGTCTGAAGCACGTTCAGAAATAGTGCGTGCATTGCATCCTAGGAGAACAGGCTGGCTCCATGTCACCCAGCCTGGGCCAAGGCACTTCTCCCGTTCCCTTCAACTTCTTTTCCCAGGGAGAGGGAGGAATCTCTATTGGGGTTGCTTGAGTGCTAGGGAATAGTCTCCCATCACAGCCTTTCAAGCAGGACCAAGATTCGAGTCCACCCAGGCATCACTCTCTCCTACCGGGGGGTGAGGGGGCTCCTTGACCTTTCTGAGAGAGGCACCTTTAGGATAGCATTAGGCACTGCCCGATGAGCAGACATGGGTGCGAAGATAGCTTCAAGGATGGAGCTACACCACTGCTTCACGTCAGCCGCTTCTTTGAGTTTGGGTCCTGACACTGGCTGCTGCGTGCGTGGCTCTCCTGTTGCATGAAGCTGTTGTTAAGTATGAGGAGAGCAAAGGCTCCAGAATGGAGGGGAGTTCCTACTTGCTGTTCGTTCCCAGGGGAGCCAAGGAAACACACTAGGATGCCAACCATCTGTTTGGGCCAGTGGCCACGGGGGCAATTCTACGCTATGAAATTGGGTCTCTGCTGGACACCCACTCTCCAGTGCAATACAAGGTAGGAAAGTCATGTAGACAGAATGGAACTTGGCCAGACGTTATGCCATGACACCAAGACATTCCTAAGGAAGCACGTCATGGCTGGCTCTCCTCAGTACAAGAGCGCCACTCTGTCTTGCCATGGACACCCAGCATAAAACAAGATGACCCCTGTCTTGCTTCCTGGCATGCACGGACTGCTCTCGAGCCAGAGCAGTTGCTCTGCCCTGGACAGTTCTGAGCCACCTCAACAGGGGAGCCTGCTTGCACAGGGAGGTTGTGGCAACATGGTCCGTGGCTGCCACAAAGAGCCAGCAAACAAAGCCCAAGGGCAGCGACAAGGCATCTCTGGCAGACTCGGATGGACCCTCAAGCACACAACGCCACACAGCATGGAAGGATGGCAACCAGATCGCACTGTGTCTGAGCAAAGCTAAGAGCCCTTGCACATCGTGTCAGAGGGCGTCCAGTTGGTCCATGGGCGAGGTCTCCCATGCATCCTTGGTCTCAGTGCAATTGCACATCCCTTGGATGGAACTCAGGCCATCTCCTAGGACACAGGAACCTTTCGAGTTCAGGTCCTGAATCGGTAGTGACCATGGAAGGGAATTCTCAGACCCGTTGCTATGGGCACCCTTGAGTCACTGCAGGGAAGGGCACAGTTGGCAGAGGTGCCCCCAACAAGCTCCAGCTTGGCATCAGGTTCCCCTGGGAGGCCCCAGCTCTTATTTCCTACCTGCATCAGCACAAATAGGCAAATCAGTCACTTTTGAGGTGTCTGAAAGGAAACAAAACAACAATGCCTCTGAGAATACTTGCATAAAACACACCCAACGTGGCATCTGCAAACAGCAACACACAGTCTCACAGATCTTCCTGCCACCATCTTTGAGGTGGAGATTCCTGAGATGTCTGAAGCACGTTCAGAAATAGTGCGTGCATTGCATCCTAGGAGAACAGGCTGGCTCCATGTCACCCAGCCTGGGCCAAGGCACTTCTCCCGTTCCCTTCAACTTCTTTTCCCAGGGAGAGGGAGGAATCTCTATTGGGGTTGCTTGAGTGCTAGGGAATAGTCTCCCATCACAGCCTTTCAAGCAGGACCAAGATTCGAGTCCACCCAGGCATCACTCTCTCCTACCGGGGGGTGAGGGGGCTCCTTGACCTTTCTGAGAGAGGCACCTTTAGGATAGCATTAGGCACTGCCCGATGAGCAGACATGGGTGCGAAGATAGCTTCAAGGATGGAGCTACACCACTGCTTCACGTCAGCCGCTTCTTTGAGTTTGGGTCCTGACACTGGCTGCTGCGTGCGTGGCTCTCCCGTTGCATGAAGCTGTTGTTAAGTATGAGGAGAGCAAAGGCTCCAGAATGGAGGGGAGTTCCTACTTGCTGTTCGTTCCCAGGGGAGCCAAGGAAACACACTAGGATGCCAACCATCTGTTTGGGCCAGTGGCCACGAGGGCAATTCTACGCTATGAAATTGGGTCTCTGCTGGACACCCACTCTCCAGTGCAATACAAGGTAGGAAAGTCATGTAGACAGAATGGAACTTGGCCAGACGCTATGCCATGACACCAAGACATTCCTAAGGAAGCACGTCATGGCTGGCTCTCCTCAGTACAAGAGCGCCACTCTGTCTTGCCATGGACACCCAGCATAAAACAAGATGACCCCTGTCTTGCTTGCTGGCACGCACGGACTGCTCTCGAGCCAGAGCAGTTGCTCTGCCCTGCACAGTTCTGAGCCACCTCAACAGGGGAGCCTGCTTGCACAGGGAGGTTGTGGCAACATGGTCCGTGGCTGCCACAAAGAGCCAGCAAACAAAGCCCAAGGGCAGCGACAAGGCATCTCTGGCAGACTCGGATGGACCCTCAAGCACACAACGCCACACAGCATGGAAGGATGGCAACCAGATCGCACTGTGTCTGAGCAAAGCTAAGAGCCCTTGCACATCGTGTCAGAGGGCGTCCAGTTGGTCCATGGGCGAGGTCTCCCATGCATCCTTGGTCTCAGTGCAATTGCACATCCCTTGGATGGAACTCAGGCCATCTCCTAGGACACAGGAACCTTTCGAGTTCAGGTCCTGAATCGGTAGTGACCATGGAAGGGAATTCTCAGACCCGTTGCTATGGGCACCCTTGAGTCACTGCAGGGAAGGGCACAGTTGGCAGAGGTGCCCCCAACAAGCTCCAGCTTGGCATCAGGTTCCCCGGGAGGCCCAGCTCTTATTTCCTACCTGCATCAGCACAAATAGGCAAATCAGTCACTTTTGAGGTGTCTGAAAGGAAACAAAACAACAATGCATCTGAGAATACTTGCATAAAACACACCCAACGTGGCATCTGCAAACAGCAACACACAGTCTCACAGATCTTCCTGCCACCATCTTTGAGGTGGAGATTCCTGAGATGTCTGAAGCACGTTCAGAAATAGTGCGTGCATTGCATCCTAGGAGAACAGGCTGGCTCCATGTCACCCAGCCTGGGCCAAGGCACTTCTCCCGTTCCCTTCAACTTCTTTTCCCAGGGAGAGGGAGGAATCTCTATTGGGGTTGCTTGAGTGCTAGGGAATAGTCTCCCATCACAGCCTTTCAAGCAGGACCAAGATTCGAGTCCACCCAGGCATCACTCTCTCCTACCGGGGGGTGAGGGGGCTCCTTGACCTTTCTGAGAGAGGCACCTTTAGGATAGCATTAGGCACTGCCCGATGAGCAGACATGGGTGCGAAGATAGCTTCAAGGATGGAGCTACACCACTGCTTCACGTCAGCCGCTT